GCCTCGGAACAAGGCTCTAACAGGCAAAGCGTCAAGAACCTGCGCATATTTTCCAAGAGACGATCTGTCGTTTCTACGCGCGATCAAGATGGGGCTTACAGGTCGAATCAAATCTCGAGAAAGCCCGAGAAGAGCTTGGATACGGCGTGGCCTGGACAATGCATCTGTTACAGTGCAATCATCACCCGATCCAGATCTCCGGCCCCAGGAACTACGAGATTCCGGCCAAATGTTACTGTCCGGCCCGATTTATGTCCAAGGCACCTGGGGCCTAAGCCCAGGATATTCGTTCAACCCGTACATTACCTCCAAGAAATCGCTTTTTTTATATGTCCATGCCTATGAAATTCAGAATCCGAGCTGTGCGAGCGTTTTGAGCGCGTTTCCAACCTATTCTTCCTCATGTTCGTCTCGCAAGTTGTCACGGCCTCTGCGAACTTGGATTGGCTCTGTCCGATGAGTGCGAGGATAGCGATTTGACCAGAAACAAAGTAAGTATACCCATTCCCTGCATCGCCATCGCTGATATCTTCAACTCAGCCTACGCATGCGTCTTTTGATCTTGAACGCGCTCAGAAAGGATCGTACTCGGAGTGGGACGCAGTGCCGTGCCAATTTTCTTCCCGAAGAGGTCGATTGAATAATTCCCTCTATGTTTTCTTTGCTATTCGATATCTCCATGGCTGCCCTCGGAAAGGCCGATGTGCGAGTGGTGGGACCATGAGGTATCATGGAGCCGTAAACGTCCACGAAGGTTCCGGATTATCGGTGTGCGTCTCGTCGAGTTGAAGATGATCGTGTAAGCCTCATGCGGGGAACGGCCAGCACAGCGTGTAATGATAATTTCGCTCCCTGTCCAGCGTCACCTCACTCCTTAGCGTGCTGCGCGACGCATATCTGGCGGACCGCATGCTTACGATCGGGCTTAAGCTACCTCCGTACGTCTAATCCCTGACTGCGTCTTCTGAACCTCTCTAAATTGCGAGACTCTTCAGTACGGCCTCGCTGTGTAGGTCTTGAAATTTAACTCCGAGACGCCTGCGAGCCCAGAATAGATGACAGGGCTATCTCTGTATCTTGCTTCCATATTCCAGCAATGGCCGGAATGTTTTCTTGACTACAGATCTGGCTTATCCCGATGGTCGTGGAAATGAGCCTTTCTGGACCGCAGCGATCCTTCCGTGAAGTGTGTTTTCACGCCATGAGAAAGAGAAGTCTGGCAAGATCTAATGAAGCTCTGTTACCGCACCTTTAGTCCTGTCCTGACCAAGGGACCAACTTCAATGAGCGACTTCTCGTATCTGAAGTCCTAACACTTGCCTGACAGCGGGGGGGGGGGGGGGTGGATATCCCACGCAAATCTTGGAATGGGAACTCACTGTTGAACCAGCAGTGAGTTGGTTCAGCAGTGAGCTCCCGAACGGCTTCTGCGGATCTCCAGATACGTCTAGATCGGAAGTGCGATGAGATCGGGAGTCTGGTCGTGCAGCGCGCTCCGTCGAGATGCCGGCATCTTCTCGATTGACGATGGAGGCCGGAGCGAGCCCGCACATGCTATGTCGGTTATCACTGTTTTTACTACGAAGGTCGTGCGTGATACATACCTGCATCTCGCAGAAGAAGTTCAGTCCTAGAGAGATCCTGTGCACATCTCTCTGGGGATGATGGCGTCCCATCCTGTATGGGATGCATCGCGACGAGCTTGGACCAAGCTGCTACCCCACGGCATGCACGGATGCTCATACCAGCATTACGGAGCCTCGGCGCTGCTGCGCGACAGAACGGGCGCAGTACACATGACTGAGCGAGAACAATTGGGATCGGCCCGCGTTGGTTCGGGAAGCTCAACGTAAGCAGGATGGGGCGCCGAAGACGCGATATCGTCCTTGCAAGCTCATATGGAGATGTATGAGGCTTGCCAGGCTCGCCGCGGTTACGATCGACTGATTGATGCCTTCATAACCGGCTTAAGATGTGGAGTCATGCATGCACAATGTCCCCATTATGCACCCAATATGGGACACTTGTGGGGCACTTATCTGCCCCTTATGTTGGCCTGATCAAGCACTGGTAGCTGTACTTATAGTGCACAAATAACCGCGGGATGGCCCCTGACTGACGCCGTGGATCCGGGTTTGCCAGGGTTGGCGGTCATATCAGGCGATATCCTCGCTTATCTATTTGTATGAGGTGCGACGTGGGAGAACATTTTCTTTTTTGCGACAAACGGCTTGTGGAGGACACTTTGAGCCTCGGTGATCGTAAAGTTCGCGTGCCCGTCGATCAGCAATGGATCGTTGGAGTTTCACGCCGTGTTTAATACCCTGCAGCGGAAGCGTAGACCTTTCGCGACGTATGCTACAAACCATGAGACAGATCCAGTCTTCAGCAGCTCAGAGATGACAGATATGACTAGCAACTGGCAAAAAAGGAGCAGGACACCGGTCACAACGGTCCATCTTCCATTTCTATCGCATGCAAAAAGCGGAACTGACAGAGAAGCTTCAGTTTCCGCAGCACTGGTTCAGTCGCTGCTCCATGTTCTGGCAAAGAGCATCATCCGCCTCAGTCAGCCTGTCCCCGTGAAGCTCCGGAGAGACAATGACGCTGACACATCGAGTGAGAAGATCCTCGATGGCTAAATCCCAGCGATGCCATCCCTCATGACCAAACATGCATTCAGAGAGCTGGCTGTGTGTCTATAACTGTCCCATGTTGGTCGATGATGGACCGACACGATCATTGTAGCTCGGTATCCCCGAAAGCGCGAGCATGGTCGCAGCCAGTCACAGCATCGAATGAAGACGACCGGCGGAACATGATCTTCAAAGTTTTTTATTGGTCACATTTCTCTCTGGCAAGCTTCTCTTGCAGCATCATTATTGTAGATAGCGATCTGATCAACTGGAATCTTGATGCCCGAGCTTTTTGACCTCCTGTGAACGTGGGCGTGTAGAAGACAGATATTGTAAAAGTGCATACGAGAACGGACCTCCTGTCGACGCGAGCGAGTAGAAAATAGATGTTGTAACAGTGCTTACACTCATTGAGGCAGATCTTCGTGCTTCTCCTTTTCCCTTTTAGCCGAGCCATCTAATGAGGACTCTACTGTATAAAAGAGCATCGCAGTGAGATCGAAAAGCAGCATCTCATCCCTGGCTGCAGTCCCTTCCAACCCATCTTTCGCTCTTACTGTATCTTCAACGAGGTCAACATTACTCAGCCTATCCTAAGCCTGGAAGACGTGGTCGTATGTTGGCTCTCTGGGTGTTTATGCGAAACGCGGCTCCAGTCATCGGTGCGGTTTCTCTTCTTCGTCACTTCCAGATGGCTCAAGCTATGCAGGCGGTGCTATCATCTTTGGGTTGAACAACAGTAAATGTTACGATCCGCCCAGTTGTCGTGAGCATACCTGTGACTTTCAAGAGTACCATCAGGCATCACGAGCCATTCATTTAGGACTCTGAGCAGAAGCACCGCTTCCACAGCGGTCCCCGATATCACAATCGCCTTACCCAACAGTGTGTAGCCTCTTTTTGTCGCACTTGCGGCCCACTCAGTATTTGATTGCCACGCGCCATAGGGGGACCTCAACGGAATTTCCGCAGTGATCTACCAGCTGGAGGTCCGTGATCGACCAAGTGCCCTGTCGGGTCGCCTGCACGCACGCTGGACAATGTCCAATGGGCGTGTCGACTCAGTCCCCGCAGATGCGTCCTTATTGTTTCCATATAATCGATCTACAGTGCCTGTGCTACGCAATTCCTGGTTCTCACGGGAAAAATGCACCAAATGGGGTTTGGCCAACACGATGGAGGACGGGAAATGTGCTTGGGAGGCGAGGTCATCTTCGACGGTTTGTTGGTGTTCGGCTGGCTCTTTTCAATTCAAACTAGGAGTAAGTCCTGCTCAGCTGCGAGACGATCGCATTATCTTCATGAGTGCATCACAGGTTGGTGTCGGACCCAGTTTTTTGTTTTGTTTCTCAAGCTGCGTGACATTCCTGTTCCTGGCACAACCAAACAGTTGTGACTGATCGACTTGATGGCCCTTTGCGGTCTGCTAGAGTCGGGGTCGACCCCGGTGCTAAAGTTGCAAATGTGGGGTTGTGTACCGTGCCAGGAGTCTTCAATGCATTATGGTCAACTGTCAGAGGTCGCCCACTTTGCACCATCCTTGACCAGCGGGTGAGTCCCTATCCCCTGCTGCGCCATCTTCTGTATGTCCCAAATGAAGCTATTGGCACTGGACTCTAGAGGATTGGTAACTGCCTCAAACACACCCATACCCTGTGGAACCTGTACTTTAAGTGGATGGTGAACACAGCATTGGGTGGCACCAGCCACTCAATGCTGTGTTGATCAATCACTGAGTGCACAGGTTGCGCAGTGCATGGGTGTGTTTGGGGTGATTGCTGATCCTAGAGTCCAGTGCCAATAACTTCGTTAAGGACTTTGAGAATGTGAGTATGAAATCAGTTTGTAGGAACATAAACTCAGTTGGGGGCACAATAGGGCAAATGACTAGTGGTCTCACGGTTCGGTTCAGCCAATTTCCTAAACCTCAAACCTGAACCATGGTTCACGTTTGAAAGGTTCTGTTCAGAGGTTTGAATTGTATCGAACCACTGAACCAACTTTTCATGAGAGCATTAAGGCTCCAACGGTATACGTGTATAACCGTGTAAACACGGTTATAACTGTATCTGTATCCGTGTCGTGTACAAGGGCCTGTATACGGTACACACACGGTACACACACAGTTTACACGGTTGATTTTAGAAACACGTACAATATAACGTACTGAGACCACAGAACCTCCCCGATCATACATTGTTACATCATAAATACCTTGCCCACAACTCCTTCAGAATACACGTGTGATACCAACGGCAACCCCATTTGACAGCTGTTTTTTTTGTGCTCCCATCATGGCTGCTGCTGGCGAAAGTCGGCCCTCCCGTATACGCATTGCTTCATACAAGGTCGCCGATCCCCAAAATGCGGGAGATCTCTCCGAGCTCCACAGGCAATCGGCAGCTGGTGAGGAACTCTGATGAGAAACTCCATCATTGTGGCTGAACTATCAAGCTAAACGCACTGTCTTCTATCCGCGCTGCTGCCAAGGCTGGTTTGGAGAAACTCGAGGTGTATTACACAAAAGCGCGTGGTTGCCAATTCAATATGATTGCAACTTGTACGTTTTCATCTCTCATTTGATTGTACTGCTGAGAACGATCCAGTGCTTCATCCGTCACTGGGCATATCTTGGTTCAAGACGTACGACCCGGGGAGCGTTGACGCTGCCAAGATCCTCTTTGAGCATGCCTTCGAATCCTACAACATTAGATACAATGAAGAGCAGGCTGCAAAAGACTCGGACATGTCCATGCCATCAATGTCAGCCAAGTTGTCTTCGCATACGAGTGGACTACTGGATCAGATCTGCGAGTACAACGACGAGGATGAGTGCATGGAGGAAGTCGACAGTGATCTAGAGAGCTTCTGGAAGGTGTTCCGAAAGTACGGCCGTGGAAGTCGCGATGATCCTCTGGCTTGGTGGAAAGCATGTTGTTGACAATCCTGTACTGCAGCTACTAACACAACCTGTAGGCACATGCTTCGAAGGTCCCTATTCCGGCCTTAATGGCCCGCGACTTCCTAGCAATCCCAGGTGCAAGCGTGTCGGTCGAGCGGCTCTTCTCCAAATCGCGCCATCTCTGTCATGAGACACGTTCGTCTCTCAAGGCCGACACAATCATGAAGGCCATGCTGACGAAGATGTGGATTCGTGCTGGATATGTTAAACTGACATAATTGATTGTCACCTTCCAAATAAATTTGATTTTTTTGACGAAAATTTAACTGTATACAACCGTGTGTAACCGGTTATACACGGTGAGTATACGTATACCAACCGTATCCGTATAGTGTACGCTGAGGTGTACACGGATACGATACGGTTGGAGCCTTAGAGAGCATGGCATTTTTCAATCCAATGGGACTCAAATGCAAGGAAATCATGTGTAATAAGTCTACAGATGTAAACAGGCAGATTCTGACAGGTTTTGGGATCTTTTTGGACAATTTATCAGGGCTTACTGTGTAGTAGGCATCACTGGATTGGTATGTATCAATGGATGATTTCCTTCTACAACATTTTCTACAATAGTTCTGGCTCCCATACCTCATATTTAGCATCTAATAGACCAATACTACTACCTTGTCATAGTTCAACCACTTTTTCATCCTACCATTGACCATCTTATCTTATCTCAATGCGGATTATCTTACCACAGATCACGGCATCAGACGGTCTCGGCTAGGGGTTCCAGGGATTATCTTTATTGGTTCGAGGCTGCGCAACATACGCTCCGGAAGGTTCTACTACAACCCATGACCAGCGTTCCATGCGGTACATAGTCTTATGACTCATTAGTTGTAGATATGACTCAGACTGGATTTGGGTATAAATAATGTAGCTACTTGGTTGTATTCTCCAGTCTTCGAATTGACTTCTCTTTTCGACATTATTTCTTGTTGATTGTCACATACCTCCTGCATGAGTTTTAGGTCCATAGAGGAGATAAATGCAGCAAAAAATGCTGATCTCCATCCAAATCAGGCAAATTCTGGTTTGATCAGGATTGTCATAAGATCTATGTGCTGCATGGAGCGCTGGTCATGGGTTGCAGTAGAACCTTCCTGAGCATATGTTGCGCTGCCTCGAATCAATAAAGATAATCCCTGGAACCCCTAGCCGAGACCATCTGATGCCGTGATCTGCGGTAAGATAACCCATGCCGAGATAAGATAAGATCGTTGATGATAAGATGAAAAAGTGGTCAAACTATGACAGTTGGCAGGAGGCAAATGCGTTGACGTGCCTGCGGACGGAATAGGCGCGAGCTAACACAAAATGGGGGTCAGCTACGACCTAAAACAGTGCAGGAATAAGTGTGATGTGCGAGGAGGTCCACAAGATTCAGTGCCGTGGCAGGCAGTAAGAAATGATGATTTTAGACGTGGGACGAAGTCGAGGGCGGCGTGGGACGGATGCGACGAAGCAGAGGGTCGAAATACCCAAGTAGAAACGAGCTGAAGACGAGAACTGAACTCAAGACTATGAGGAGAATAAATCTATCTTTCTTTTGTCCAACTACAAGCTTTTGTATGTGAGACAATGAAATAATCATCAGAGTGGGTGAAATATCGACAGGATGGAGCAAGGGACGGTGAACAGAGGAACCAGGGAAGTGAGAGGGGAAAAACAGGTACAAGTGGATGGTGAAGTAAGAAAGGCAGGGGTGTAGAGATAAATGTGCAGACAGCAGTCCAGGGATGTGAATATCAAAAATATATGCAGGGCTGGACGAACCAGTGAATAGCCAGGGCTGAGGAATATTGAGGAGACCCTCAGTTGTGTGCGAAGCGTGCGCCCACTGATTGCTGATTGACATGCACTGCCACACGTCAGGACTTGTCGGATAGATAGGCCAGTCCGTCAGCGTGTGTCTGGATTGAATTGTTTCCTCTGCCGAGCCTTCCGGACCTTCATTTTGTGGGTAAGATGATGTTATGGCTCCCATGTGTTCTTGCTATGCGGCCATCCCTTCCATTTGACCAAGTACTGTTTTCCTCGGCCAAGATTTTGCTCTTTCACAATTCTTTGACTTCCCACTCCTCTGCTTTTCCAATCATCTTGGCTAGGGGTCTCTTTGATTGGCAATGGGCACCTTGGTCACCCCCCAAGTCCTACCAGTTAGGTAGGTTTTTCCGGCGCCCAAAACCTACCTGAGTGGTAGCGGGCGGATGGGCGGTGGGCGTTCATTTTGCAAATTGCGATCCTTGGACGGCCCATTGTTCACGGTTCCAGGCACCCATGGGCGGCAGCCTGGGCAGACCCAACCCCGCCCGGGGTCCTAGCGGGCGCAGCGCTAGAAATTTTTGGCCATTTTACGTCCCGTTTAGGAAGTTAAAGTCGATTTCTATTGCCTTCGTTGCACACAAAATACATTTGTTTTGTTTCCTACTTATCACCCGTGTGTACACGATGCCAATTAAATACCCATGTAGCTTTTTTGCGTTCAATCAATCATCGATGCTGAAAATCTCTGCATCAGGGGGCGGCGGCCTGCGTCGCGATTCTTGCTGCGTCCGCGCCCACTCGTCCCCATCTATGACTTTGCCCAGACGTTCTGCTTTTTCAAGCTTTTCCTGTGCAATTCTTCTCTCTTCTTAATCCAATAATTTTGTCATTGAGACTACGTGTTCATACGGCAAGCCTACCTTTTGCAAACGCCTTCTTCTGTTCGACTGAACAAGCTTTTTCCAGGTGTTTAAGTAATCCCATTTGTTTATTTTGAACCTGGCAAGCCTACCTCGTGCACGACGTTCTGCGAGATGGTGCTCAAATTCGTCCTCCGGCTCTCGCTCGCTCTCACTCTCACTTTCCTCGCTGTCCTCCGTCTCTGGTTCCTCGTTGTCGTCAGATCGGATGATTGCTCCGCCCCACCCATGGCGGATTCTCCGCACTCGGCACCGAGCCCTACGAGCGGCCAAACAGACCGTATTTCGGTATCTCTCCTCAGGCGAGACGCGCTGTTGACTTGCGGCCCTGAATGGCATTGCATCAGAGCACTCAAATTCTGGACTGGGGGGACGGACTCACTGCATGCGAGGAGCGGGAGAGTGTAACACCAAGCCAAGCGGGCACGTTTCTTTTCAAGCTGTTTGGGTGTCAGGGGTTTGGGTCTGCAAATGTGAGCAATGGCAGTGGAGCGCGTTTGGTACAAGACAGACTTGTAAGTAATGCGCCGCATCGTCCGTGGTTGAAGGCAAAGTTGAACAGTCACGGTCACTGTGACAAGGGTCATATAGAGGGTCGCTGCCGGTTATGGGCATGGCATAAGGAGGTGCCGATTGATCCTTCGTTGGTCGGCCGGTGCGTGGGCCCCCGTGAAGAGATGTGGGCACCTGTGTTGTAAGTCTGGGCGCCCGTAGTTTGCTGCGGGTGCCCGTAGTTTGCTGCGGGTGCCCGTAGTTTGCTGCGGGCGCCCGTGATGGGATCTGGGCACCCTTGAATTGTTGTGGGCGCCCGTAGTTTGCTGTGGGCGCCCGTGATGGGATCTGGGCGCCCGTGTCGTAAGTGTGGGCGCCCGTCACTGGTGTCAGGGCAATCAACACAATACAGTAATATAGTACGGGGAGCATTCAGTTACATCATGGCACGTAGGAAGTTAATAATGTACTCAGTGAACTGATCAAGTGAACGACATGGATTCAAGCAGACGTGTTGTGACTGTGATTATTACTAAACGAGTTCTGGGAAGCCAGCATTGGGAGACGACTCGGCAACAGCAGTGCAAGGAGGCGCTAGCTCCGCTGCGTCAGTAATGTTCTCAATCCCATCACCAAACGACACCAACCCGATGGAGTGGTCGGGCTCTATAGCAGACGTCAGAATGCAGCGCGCTGCGCTTAGTCGGCATGCTTACTTGGAAGCTTCTCCACAAGGCGCTGGAACTTCTGTAGCACCTGGTGTAGTTGGTGCAACTCGACGTTGTCAACAGACTTCACCAGATCCAGGAAGGCCTTGCGAGCCTTGTCAAGTTCACGATCCTGAGCGATGCGCTGAGTGATGTCCTCTGTAGGCGTGGTCCTCATGTACAGCTGAGTGTACGCCCACGGAGCCGCTGTATCAAGGTCAATTTGCCATAGGAGGCTATACTCACTGATGGCACAGCGCAACTCTGAGCGCGATGTTGGCAAATAGAAAGGATTGGGAAAGTCATCTTCCACCACAACCATAGGCCGTGCTATAAGTTGTGCACTGGTTAGTTATCTGGTTCTTCTTCAGCTGAAAGCAAGTACCACTGTGCCGCAAGCAATCTGCGTTGGTCAAATCAATACCTCCATTGGCCGCGCACTGACACTGGAATGTATTCAACTCTAGAATGGGAAAATGAGCGAAAACCCACACACACGGACTGCATCATTGTTGTATTGTCCATTGCGTTCCATTGCATCGCACCCTCTGCAACAGGGGGACGGTGACACAAATTTGTCCCCACGTTTAGTGTAATAAGCACAGTACCATTTAGGCATGAGCAGCTTGCACTGTTCACATTCTGCAAAGGTTTGGTCCGGTGCCGAGCGCTCATATTCGTCAAGTGTGATGAGTGAGAACTGTTGCACTTTGCAGCCCAGGATCTCCTTGCGGTCCCGACTACCGGTCAGAAGGTGAACGTGGACACGTACACCTTCTGTAGGCTTGGCGATGGGAGGAGGTTGGTGTTGGTCGGTGCGCATGGGACTGGCACGGGCAGACAACGAGACAGCGGTCGTCCGGATCGGCGGCATAGTAGACGCAGTGTTTTTGCCACATATGAGGAAGAGGATGGGGAGAAAAGCGCGATATGGTTTTGGCCCCTATAATAAGAGTGAGGACTGAAGTACTATTGGCGATAATCAAAACATGTGACAACGCACCCGCAGATCTATTTCCAAGCGCCTAGTTGGATTACCCAGCAGAGGCGTGATCGATCATGACCACACGTTTAGTACCAGACGACCAGCTGTGCGTATCGGGGGATGCCATGTGCTCAGGTACAAAATGAAATTGACCAAGGCCGAAGTGGATGTGAAGGTGTTGACGCTAAGCTATAATAGTAGTTCCTCATCCCAGACAATGCCGCCACGCTCGAAGGCCTCCAACTCATTGTAAGGCAGAGACTCGCCGTTAGACTCAGTCTCACTACTGGAGTCCTCATCCCCATTGGTATCCTTCCACTTGTCGTTCCCCCAGCTTGGGGCACCATCTCTCGTACGGGCAGATACATCTTCGATGCGAATCTGTAGTACATCCCTGTCTGAAGGACCCCAAGGGGGGAGGCCCTCGGTTGGGTACGGGATTTGTCGCAGCGGCTTCTCCCATGCTGCGGTCAGTTTTGTCAATTCTGACTGGCGAAGCTTGAGCTGGAAGACGACTGCCTCTTCATCTACACCGGACGTCAGCTATGATTGTTCATCCGTTGGCCAAACGCACGTACTAGCCTTGCCTGCCAGTTGCAGGGCCCACCCAACAACGTCCCACTCCTCTGCCATCCACCAGCGCAGCGCCCGACACTCGTGATATAGACGTTGCTCTTCCTCGTCACATTGGTCCCGTTTGAGTAGAGCCTGAATGCCCTTGCGGACAGAATTGCTGCTCATCCTCAACGGCGGGTCAACCTCCTGGTCGATGTCTGTCAAACCAATGTCCAGCCAGACATCAGCATCAACATCCAGCCCCCAGATGTCCTTCTCATTGATTGGTCCAGGTGCCACCGCGTTCCGTGGGGCATGGTGGAGATCGATGAGCTCCTGCAGTTGTTTGCACAAGTTGTTGTAGAGTTTGCACAGATCTTTGATACTTTGGTCGCGGTGTTTGACTACGTCCTCGATGTGAGTTGTCAGTTTTGCGTCTTGAGAAGTTTCAGGTTAGTCAGCACTTGCTATTGGCAGAAAGAAAAGAAACACCATGCCTGCTTTGTTCCGGTGGAAGTGACACTTGACTCGATTGAGCTCAAACTTTCTCTGCCTCAAACAGCTGCGTAACTTTGTCTTGGCGGCGGCAGCATTCATCCGCACCTGGATGTACTTGCTCTGCACCATCTTAGAGACAGATCGGCCTTGTCTTCCACTCCCATTGTCGCCTTCTGCTTGCGCACTGATTCCGCCAACTTGCTCAGCTTCTCATGTGCTTTAGCATACTCTTGCTCTGCAAAGTGGACGTAAATAGGATCCGCGTCTTCTTTGAAGATGGTGTCATTCCACTGAGACATCTACGCCTTCAGTTTGTCCATGAGAAGCGTCTTCCGCAGCACGTCTTGGACGGCGAGTTTGCCTGCATTCTTTGATTGACCTGTAATGTCGGAAATGAATTAGCTAGCGCTGAATGGAGGGAACTTGTGGCTGACGCGGTTGTGGCTTGGACATTGCCGCAACCTGCTTGGCGTGCTCTGCCCAAAGGACCAGTTCTTCATGTGGACATTGACTCAGGGCAGTATCAGCGTGTCGTCTTTGTAGCGCCGTGCTAACCAGGTTCCTAATCGTGAGAGTTTTCCTTTGTGAAGATGGATCACTTGTGCATTGAGCGTATAGCGGCGCTTGTGATACTAGAGGTAGGGGTGTTAGCATGGGTCTGATAATGACATTATCTAGAGCGCATACCCCGCAAACACAAAGAAACGATACCAAATGGCTAAGAGAGTGCCAGAAGCGTTCCAGCAACTCTCCATCAGAAAACCCGAAATGAGTGCGCCGTCTCGGATGATAAACTGCTTGGCAAGCAGTGCCATGCCCGTACGAGTGCAGGACATACACTGCCCACTCTAATCTCTCCATGTACGCGGGGGGAAGGAAGTCGAACTTTACTGCTGACCGTTGCAACTGGCAGGCAATGTCGTACAGGAAACCAACGACAAAGTCGGTCGGCAAATGCTGGAGCAAAGCTTCAATGAGGGCGAACATGTAGAACTGGCGTTTGCCAGGCGTCTTGATGTTTGCCAGGAAGAGAAGGTTGTTGTGATGACACAACAAGCCCATGAGCCCCTTATCGTCAAAGAACTGAGAACTGCTCTTTGCTCTGGTCTTGTCTGCTGCAGCAAAAGACCGCTCACACTCATTGAGCACAGATCGCAGCAGAGGAATGGACGGTGCTTCGATCTCGTCATCATCATTGGCCTCTTGTGTTGGTGCAGCCGCTGAGCCCAGAGCAGGACGCGTGGGATGGATCCCTTCGACCCACTGAGCCATCTTTTTTGTCGCTTCATCGGGTAAAAAAGAAGACTTTGGATGCGCGTGTACCAGGTCTTGCTGCCCCCAATCCTTGTTCCTTTTTTGCGTAAAGCATGCATCTCCGCAAACGATGCAATGCAGCACCATTCATGCATCTTCCCATTTGCCACCAAAGCATGCGGGACATCGGCCACGCAGATATTTGCTGGGTCAGACACGGTCTTGAGGCGTCGGGAACGGGTAGATCGGCCCGGCGGTGCCGGATGACTCAGCGATGGGGGAGGATGGACCTGGAGAAGACAACTGCTCGGGGCTGGGGCCAGGTGATGAAGACGGGGGCATGAACGCCCGGGTCAGAGAGGAAGACAGTGCTCGGGTGCGCTTAGTCAGAGAGGATGGTGGGGACGACTCGAGTTCTCTGCGCCTTCTTTTGCGCGGAGATTCTTCAGCACCGCGGTGGGGTGAGGGAGTAGGTGTTGATGGCTGTTCGCAATGTTCCTCTTCTTCGCGCATCTCCTCCTGCACGCTTTGAAGTATGTCGTCCATCGCCTGGTCTGTCCGGTGACGCAAGATTGTGTAGTACTCGAGGGTGTTACCAAATTGACAACGCAGGGATTCCTGACCGCAAGCACGTCAGCACCCACAGCTCACAGGTAGATGCCATACATACTTGGTTAGGCAGTTTGTACCCCAGACGATCGAGGCACTGCTCGATCGTCTTCGTCAGCGCACAGTTTTTGGGTGCTTGATTGAGGAAGAGATCTTGCGCGAAGTCCAAGACTCTCATGTCGACGGCCAGATGGGGTTCGATTGGTGAGCTGGGGAATAGGCCACAAGCGACAAGTTGAGGAGCTGCTGGAAAGCACGCGCAGTAGGTCAACAACGTTTGTTGCACATCTGCAATGCTTCAGTACGTGTCATGACAGCGCGGGACAGGCATGAAGACCTACCATGCCAGCTGAGCAAGTACACTTGCACATCTCGCTGTCTCCCGCAGATACATTCCCTTGTGTATGGCATGACCCGTTCCAAGTGTCGCAGCCGCTCGGTGCGGCGCACCAGGTCTGCATACACTGGTAATATGACCAGAAAGACTTCCTCCATCCAATGCCTGGTCTGCTTTCCTCGCAGACGAGAATGCGTCGTCTGCGGGCCTAACGGTGCAACATCGCTGCCAATATACGCCATGTACATCTTGGGAGCATCCTCAGGTGCCTCTCCGTCTGCGTCTAGGGGCGGGGGCTGATCATCAAGCTCTTCTGCCCATCGAGTGTTAAGGGCGAACCCAGCCTGACCAGGGGGAGGGCGCACATAGTCTTGATAGACTGTCTTTCCATCGGCAAGATACACGGGCAGTGGACGCCAAGCGCCGTGGCGTCGTGAGGGTTGGGCGGTGCTCAGGGCAAAAGCTGTGTGCTTGGTGGGACTGGCGGACTTGCGACGCGCGGTCGGCATGTCGAGTACGTTTGGGATGCTAGGGCGGATTATGGTCAGTGATACATTTCCGTGTTTTTGGACTGGTCTGAAGCTTACAGTGTGGTGGCTTTCTTCACTGCAGCCTCAGTGCAAGTCCCTGTTCCCTTAACTACGTATGTGAGTCTTTTGTATTCCACTGTCAAGATGGCGTACTTAGGATTTCTATTCTAAGTCTACATGAACTATGGCAAGCAAATATAGAGGCATAGTATAGGCAAAAAGATCAGAGTTAATATTGACGCTGCCGTGCTTATGACCATCGGTCATGCTCATCTTGGGATCATCAGGTGGCTGTGCAACATCTGCCCTTGCTCTTGACCGCACAATGCCCGGTGAGTCTCTGACGTTGCGTATGGACATGTCGCACAGTAGTTAGACTGCGGCTGAAGGCTACGGTCCCAATGACCATAAATCACACCCTGTATAAGTTCACGAAAGAAATCCTTGTAAACGGAAGCATCAGTCCACGGCTAGAGGCACGCGAGACTGACATCGCTTAGCCCCGCTGCCTCCTGAGCCCCGCCTCGCTAAGCCCCAAACTGCGAACTGAAGTCATTGTCATTGAATAGCTGGTACTGCAGGAAGTTCAGATCTAGCCCATCACGCGTCCTCTGGCACTGCTGACGCCGAGGGCCCCTGCTCCCCAGCCGACATGGTGCGTAACCGTTGAGATCTCTCAGTGGTGGTCGTTGGTACTAACATTCAGCACCAGTCAGTCGTCTCTAACTACTCCGCCCCACCTTACAACTCCGATGTCACCTCCGGGCCTTTTCAGTCCTGAGCCGCTGTTTTTGTCCAGGACTGTGGGTGACGCTCCTTCCGCTTCTATGACACGATATTGACTGACCGAATACAGCCATCTCCTCCTTCATGCTCCCCCACTCTGATTCCGATGTCTCCAGTCAGCGGCGTGAGTCAGCTGCACTTAGGTACCGACATGCTTGAAGAGCAGACATTGCCACCCTCAGCTCTCCCGAACGAATCATGTTCGATTGCAGCAGCTCCTGAGGTTGAGCAGTACACTGAGACGTTGTCAGGCAGTGCAACACAAGACTCGACTATGATCTGCGGCCAGGACAAACCGCAGGTGCGTCCGCTCCGATGAACGGTCCTACTTGTCAGATCAATACCTCATAGTCTAGTGAACTGGAATCGCTGCTTCTGAACGTTCCTTGAGCGTTGGTATTTGGCCCAGCCAATCCTATGGTGCTCGGATGGGGTGCAGTGGAATCAGTAAGGTCATCTGCACTTAGTTGTGGACGTATCCGAAAGCTTTGCAGACTTCGTCAAGTATCTGTGTGGAAGGAAACCATGGCAAGAAGCGGCGTATCAAGGCGCCTCCTCAAGTAAACAAGGGCAGGGTGCTGCAATACCTCAGCCTGGAAGCCCAGGAGGTGGAAGATGAAGAGGATCTCGACGACGATTATGATATGGGCGATTGGATTGTCTCGGAGGAGGAAGCAGACACTCAGGAGTCAGATATCGAAGACGACCGACAGCGCGTCTTGCCTCAGCCTCCAGTTGTCTCCCAAAAGGAGGCTGCATTGATCCACCACTGCCTTGAGATGATAGCTGCTCAGTACTTGCAGACCTTGCGGGTCGAGATTGCGTCAAGATCCTCCGCTGCTGTTATGCCCACGGACGAATCATCAGTTCCGGAGCAAGTCGCGGAATCTCAGAACCTGATCACAGGCAGCTCCCTCCGTTCTGGACTGAGCGACGAGACAATGGTGGCTGCGGATTACATGTACCGCATGCCGGACAATTTGCTTGATCCCCCCCTGTATCCATTGGTGGTCCCTCAAGGTCTTGAGCCGGACGCCACTCGATTCCTGTCCCATTACGATTTCCTCGACTCGGTCTTCTACCCTAGGCATTTTGGGGGCTTTGTTTACGTGGAGACTTGTCATCGCGCCTGGCTGTCTAAAATTCTGGAGCAATGGCAATACTTTAAGCCTGGCATGGTCAAGGCTCCAGTGCGCGGCTCCGACAAGAAACATCTTCCTGCATCACCCCCCAGTGCACTTGTCGGCACGTTTGTGCAGCTCGATACCAGTTTGTATGCAGGCAATGTCGGGTACTTGCACAAAGACGATGATGGCGCCATAGAGCAATATGCCTTGGTGGTACCTCGAATCCAAGCACCAGGGCAGCGGACAAGACCTGCGCCTGCCTTGTTTTCGGTTCATCACATTCAAGATCGAGACATGTACCCCGGCGATGAGTGTGGCCGTGACGGCCATTGGATTGTCTGGAAGCATCGATATTTTACAGAGGAGGGACTGGAACACATCAGATGCGGGCAATATGGACTTCGACAGCGTCCAACGCCCCCCACTGTCGCCGAATTGGCGATGTTTTGGGACACCCACAACAATCTTCTGCATGCCCCCAGCTACGATCCTCTGCAGACTGGTGTCCAAGTCGGCGACATGGTGCTAGTTCATGACCCTTTATCTGCCTTTCATTGCTACGCTGGCACCTTGGTTTGCGTACCACCAAGCTCTAAATTTGGCTCTGCTGTTGGGGCTGTCTTTGTCAACTACAATGGGACAGACGTTGTCACAGCAAAGAGCGCCAATCAGGAGCAATGCTTTGTAGTGCTGATAGCATCTCTGTGTCGACATGCTTTGTGTCCGCCTCGCCCAATCAGTGAACACTCTCGTATCAAGGTGTTTGGCCATCCGTTGTTGCACCTGGCATTGGGCTGTGTTTCAGGCTTACATAACAGCGCCGACCAGCTCAAATTCCAGGGTGTGCGGCCAAATGGAGAATGTTGCCGCGGACAAGTCAAATGACAGCACTGCACCCTCGAGTTCCGAGCAGGAGATGTTGTCGAGATCATGAGTGGCAACAAGCAGGGCGTTGTTGGCTTTGTCCTTGCGACTCACATCGGTGGGGCTGTGGACATCTACCCAGTCAGTCTCCCCTCCAACCGGAATAGCTCAACTCTAATCTCTTGTTGGTGTCAAATCGATGAGATTCAGCAGCATGTCAAAGGCATTTTCATCAGAGATGAGCACCGGGTAAGCAAAGCACAATTTGACTCTGTATTTGGCACTGAAGTAGCTACTTGCAGGTGAATAATGCGGCATATCTGTCACGAGAGGATCTCGCTGTACATACAATCATCAGAGTGCTGGCCCATACATATCATTGTATCTAACCACGTTGCAGATACGTGTCCCAGATCGGACTATTGTGCTGGTTCCGGTCAACACGACCGGATACCAGCGAGCGCGTGGGCATAGCTGGATGGCTAAGCAGGTCGATCCAGAGCATGTCAAATTTGCTCTCGAGCAAGACATGCGCAGAGCAAAGCTCGAACAAGACCTGTTCCATACTGGGATAGGTTATTCGGGCCAGCGCGTCATGATCGTCGGGAAACACTCACAGAAGGGGCTCATCGGCACTGTTGTTGGGTACAAGCACCTTAAGCGATCCGAGAAGCCTACCACAAAGGGGCAATCCAAGCTGGAGCGCGATGTTGAGTTGACAGTAGATATGGAAGGCGGCGGCAGGACCACATTGCAATTGGACCAAGTTGTCCACCCTGAGTGCGTGTACCATTTATGTGTTAGCTGCGCACTTTGCTGACCCTCGTCACAGAGCTTTCTTGCCCTTGCGACAGGCAATGTTCTTCGACGATCTAGCCCGTCTCATCAAGGAAATACAGCGAGAGACCACTCCGCCGCCGGATCCTAGCGCGGAGTCGGTTCAAGAGCCCCCAGGCGAGTCTTTCTATATCGCCAATCGCTGATATCTGATGCAGTTGTCAGACGATTTTTTGCGCGATGCCCTGTGGCTGGCGCACCTAGGCTTGTGGGAGAAGCGCGTCGACGTCCAGGTCAAATCGGCGGACGCAATCATGGCAGCCAAAGACAGGGAGAAGTACCGCATGAAGGGCAAAAAAAGCCGCTATCTTCAGTCTTTCAATGACAAGACATTGCAGCAGGCTGGGAAGACAGGGATTGTAATGCCCTCTCAAAGCATGTCCTGGACGCAGCACGACTTCATGCAAAAATTCGTCCGAATTTGCGTGGGCGGCTTCCAAAATGCCTATGTGCTGGCGGAGTGCCTGGAGCCGATGAAGGTATTGCCTGATGGTCGCTGCATTAGCACGGTGCGTGGTTGGGTGATTGTAATTGGATTCGACTGCGATAAGAAGGACGGGGATATTGGCAAATACGCCGAAGTCATACCCAAGTCTTCTGAGCCATCAAGGTTGCTAGTCCAGTTTGCGCAGCCAATAGAAGGCAGGAACAGGACAAATACATTCCCCATCGACTCGCTCTGCCGCTCTACCAATGAGTCCGCACCCGCATTGGGATTCTGGGCAACCGACTTCACGATCGGGGTTTCTGACATAGACGGTGCATCAACAGTGGCCATGGCCATGTGATAAAGAATTTAGATCTCACTAATCAAATGTATTGTATGCTTCGGAGCAATCAGTTCTAATCAGTTACTTACACACACATCTGCTATAATACTTATCATGGGCTTCTCAATGAGTAATCAGGTGGCTGCGCCACATGCCAGTTTGATGGCCTTGGCAAAGACCATCAGGGCAATGTAACCCAATCAGTGATGACGCTCCGTGTGACAGAGGTCTCTTATTGTCAGCGCTCATGTCGCCCGCCAGGCACGACACACCCAGCAGGCAATCTTGCAAGGGACGCATATTGTCTGTAGATGTAGTGTAAATATACAGAAGCCTAGTGCACATGAAATCCGTCTAACACATCGGGGTCACGCATTAGGAGGCACTGGCTAACGACACTTGGACATCGCTGCAGGGTGTACGGTCTAAAGCGGTTGGAGGAGATCGGGTGTCAATTGCACACATGGCAAGGAACAAGTCAGTCAGTCAATTCACGTTGTTGAATGAAAAGCCGCCAACCTTTTTTTTCCTCAACAGATCGCACCGAGCCACACACTCCCCGAACCGTCACAGGTCCTTGCTACGTGAGTCCCACTGCTCACCTTCGACGGAATGCCTGCAGCTAGTCCTCACTACTCGGTTGAAGAGTTTCCAGCCCCTACATAGAAAGATGGGCCGATCACTGCGCTCCAACACCAAGCTGCCGCCTCGCGCCCCAGAGACGCCCGCAGCGGACATTCAGCGCCAGAGGCGCAAAGAAAGGAAGCGGATGGTCAGAGCTTTGCCTGCCTGTGTGCCAGATGCTGATTGCTGAACAGGCAACACCAGTAGTCTCGCCGCCTTCCGAAGCTCTGCAGCGCAATGAAGGGCAACTTGTCTCACCGCCTTCCGAAGCTCCACAGCGCAACGCTAATCGAGTCGAGGACGGGCCACCTCTTGTCTCTCCGTCACCAAAAGCCCCGCATTTGTCCACGGAAGCATTAGCAAGCGCCAGCCTGAGCAGTAGCGCTGTGCATAGAGACAGTGGACAGTCAGGCTATCTGGCGCATCTGGGTGCTCTGAGTGCCAAGGCGTCAGCGGCCAATCGCAAGAGCCAATCGTTCCCCACTTTTGCCGCCAAATCAGCACTGGACATTCTTGCTGCAGGCCCAACAGAATCGCGGCGCACAATGAATGTGCTGTCAATGCGTCCGTTCAAAATCGAAACTGCACGGAGCACGTCTCAGGACTCGACATTGGCACCACCCTCACAAGGAGGACTTGGGGGCGACTCCACCCCTCGTGCACATCTACGCACAAAGGTGGCAGACATTCGGGGCCCGTTCAGCGATCAACACCTGATGGCTGAAGACCTGGATGAGATTGAGCAAGACCCTGATGCCAATTCACCAGAAGAGGTTCGGGGCCCCGTGGAGGAGATTGAGGAGGACCGTGATGCCAGCTCAGCAGTGCCACCAAGAGCTACGAGCGTCGAGCCAGACATGGATACACGTGACAGCGACCATGAAAAAAGCTCTGTAGACAACAGTGACCATGATGGAACCTTTTGGACTCAGAGGGAGAAGCGGCGAGCAGCCGCTTTGCTCAGGGCCAGAGACAACGGGAAGATGACAGCAATGGGGATCACTCCCCAGCGTGGGGACGTGGAGAAAGACGAGAGTGACGAGAGTGATGAGAGCAACAAGAGCAACGAGAGCAACAAAACAAGCAGTCGTTGTGCTGTGGCTACAAGCACTCGTCGTGCTGCGGCTACAAGTACCAGGCAAGCACCGGCTCCCACCAAAGCGCCAGCTTCCACCGGCAACAACAGGGAAGTCAGCCTCACCAGTCAAGGAGGACGCCCGACTACGGCGTACTGCCAGAGGATAGCCGCCATCCAAAGAGAGATGCTGGACGTCTCAGTGGAGCATCAAGTGACAATGGGCCGGGTGCTCGCAGATCTGGATAACGAGCAGCACGGCAGAAGTGCAAAGGAGAGTATCTGGAACAAGTTCCAGACGTGGTACTCACACGAGCACAGAGGAGAGAAGCCACGGGAAAGTAAGTCGATCTTTAAATGCGTAACAGGAGTCCGGCTTACTGTTGGGGCAGTGCATGTCAGTCAGTGGAACAAATTGGTCAGCCAGGCATTCCAAGATCGCCTAGCTGAGCTGGATGACACACTGCATGAGGATGCTAGGGTGCTGGAACGGCATTTTGCAGAGGTGGTAGAATGGCATGCACAGCATCGCCAGGACCAGTTGGACGAAGACAGGAAATCCGGACGACTTGCAACAATGGTGAGGAATGCAGCCAAATCGTTGTCACGATTGGTAAGTCCCTGGCTTTCAGGCGGACTGGATACTGCTAATAAGTGCGTAGGGCACAAAGATATACCACGAGTCCGGGGTACATGTCTTTGGTGTTATCGTTGATGAGGAAGGGCAACAGAGCTGCACTTGTGCCGGGTCACCTCAGTTTGCAGAGATGGTGCAAGCCTACCCGTACGCTGTGCACAAACAACTGCGAGACTACGAGACCATGTAGCGGTATGTGTCTTGTCCTCGATAAAGTACCTTCGCTGCTCAGCGCCATCACAGAAACATTGAGCTACAAGAGCGCTCCTCTTGCGTAGACCCATCACTGGTGGCACAACCTGCGACCGCGCCGATGCAAGGTGCACAAGCCAGTGGTCCAAGACCGCAAGGACTAAGTAGCAAGCAACGGCTCGTGACAGATGGAGGGAGAAGCTATGCCGACAAGAGGAGCTTTGAACAGGCGCGAGTCGGTGAACTGCTGCAGAGAAGCCTGGGTACGATTCCTGGTCTTTCTGACAACAAGACGCGCTCACCAAAGGTTTCTCTTTGCATTAGAGTCCACGGGGTCCGTAGTTCTGAAGAGGATGACTTGGGACTTGACTGCCCTGTGTCGGAAGCACCAGGTCTGGCTGGTGAATTGGCCGCAGGGCTTTTCTCTGCTGCATTCGAATTGGAAATCATCCGCAGAGCTTGTGCAAGTAATTCTGCCCGGTCTCGAGTTGCGAGCGCATCCTGAACAATACGCCGTGGACCCAAATGACGATCAGGAAACCGTCGCGCTGAAAGAGGACAAGGAAGCCCTCGCATCTAAGGCTCCACATTTTGTGAAGTGGTCGCAAGGTCAATTTTCGCTACTCAGGGGAGCACCTGCGTTCTCATAAACATGACAGAAGAAGTCGATGCCGCGGACGACGTTAGGCATGAGGGTGATATCGTGTTAGCAACCCGCGTCGACGATGGTGTCGAGCTGGCGTGGGTGCGGGACTGCGCCTCTTACAAGAAGGAGATTGCGCAGGTGGATAGCAAGGTGGCCAGGAAAAGACCGGCTTCTGCTCGTTCACCTCCACCTCGTTCTGCAACCCTCGGTGTATCCAGAGAGATGTCAACCGCCACGGAGCTAGGTGGCAACAACTTCTTGGCACACGTATACAAACTGACACGAGCGCAGCCCCGACCCCAATGGAATTCAGTGACGAAGAGGGCCCCGCATCCCCACCAGCAAAACGTTCTCGACTAAACCCAACTCTGTCAGCAGCATTGGACGACGTCGGCGATGAGCGAGTCAGTCTTGCGACGAAAACACGCGCACAAATCAACGCAGAGAAGTTGCGGGCGCAGCTGGACCGCCAGCCCAGACCCGGAGAACACATCCTGCGCTACCATTTTGGGAAGTCAGCGACACCGAGTCAGTTGCTTAGTACGTTGCTTAGATTTGGTGAACAATTGGTACCAATGGCTTGGCTGATGCTGACATGCCGTTTTTCCATACATTCATAGAAGCGACGGAGTAATTATTATCACCAGCACAAATGCAACAAATATAACGTCTTGGCCTTGTGCTTCAGGGGTAAGAAGATAACAGCGCAACGTCTTGGCCTTGTGTTCCAGGGTGTAAGAAGATGACAGAGCGCATGTCACAGCTGAGTCACATTTCCTTCACTTCTTGGTTTTTTATTCATGACTTCTGTCACCGACATGCTCCTGGAATCAGAAGATTGTCTTCAAGTAAAGCACATATTGAACAACGGAGCAATCAATTGGATCCAACGGGAAAAGAGGTGCAACCCAGAAGGTGTGACTGCCTTTGAACACTGCTTGGTTGGCCTGCGTTATCACCACGCACTCAGCAGAATGCTAGATATGCAGGATGAAGCGGTCCGAGTCCGTGGGGATCCTCCAGCATACTGGAGAGAAGACTTGGGCTTTGCCAAAGATTGCTGGGAACGACGAGTATGTGAGTGCCGCATACCGGGCCAGTAGTCCAGCAGCTGGTTAATCAAAGATGTCAGTGCCACTACGGCCTCAGGGTCTGCCCGTTCCATCAGAGGACATTGGTACGGTCAATGGTTGATATCACCTCGCAATGTGTTCTGATATTACACGGTCAGGCTATTTTGACCGCTCATTCGATGACGCCGTTCTGGAAGAAAGGGCCAACGCAGAGCAATTGGCTGTGTTCCACTTGCGAGGCATTGGCCCCGAAGGTGTCAGTGCGGCGGTCAAGGCATTGGGTGGGGACGACGTGGGCTTGTCCCTGATGCTTTCTCCACATGGCAACATGGGGACTGCGCAGAGGTACCATACTCGTGAAGAGATGTATCTGACCAACGCTTGACCGCCTGCGTTTGCAAATCCGCCTGCAGATCTGCAGTGCTCAGTCTGCTATGGCATACTGTCTCATCCAGTGAAGTAAGTGTTTGTGTTAGCTCTTGGCATATAGGTTGTTCCGGATGGGTCGCTGATTGGCCTTCACCCAGGGTCACTTGTGGGCACAAATTCTGTTACGGATGCATATGTATGTGGATCCAAGAGGCCGACGTGTTCTCTTGTCTGATGTGTTGCGCGTTAATCAAGTCCGCCCCAGTGGCAATGCCATCCACAGCGGCACTGGTGTCGTTGGTACGCGGAGCAGAGCAGGACATGTCTGTGATTGAGTACAATTGGTCCAGTGTGATTTGGGCTGGGACTTGTTGTGTAGCGCTGCCACCGGATTTCTCGTTCCAAATGCATCCAGTGCCGAGCTAGATAATGCTTATTCCATGTTCTAACGCTACGTACTATGTAACTGAATGCTCCCCGTACTGTATGACTGTGTTGTGTGGATTGCCCAGATCCCATCACAAGCGCCCACACTTACGACACGGGTGCCCAGATCCCATCACGGGCACCCGCAGCAAACTACGGGCACCCGCAGCAAACTACGGGCGCCCAGACTTACAACACAGGTGCCCACATCTCTTCACGGGGGCCCACGCACCGGCCGACCAACGAAGGATCAATCGGCACCTCCTTATGCCATGCCCATAACCGGCAGCGACCCTCTATATGACCCTTGTCACAGTGACCGTGACTGTTCAACTTTGCCTTCAACCACGGACGATGCGGCGCATTACTTACAAGTCTGTCTTGTACCAAACGCGCTCCACTGCCATTGCTCACATTTGCAGACCCAAACCCCTGACACCCAAACAGCTTGAAAAGAAACGTGCCCGCTTGGTGTTACACTCTCCCGCTCCTCGCATGCAGTGAGTCCGTCCCCCCAGTCCAGAATTTGAGTGCTCTGATGCAATGCCATTCAGGGCCGCGAGTCAACAGCGCGTCTCGCCTGAGGAGAGATACCGAAATACGGTCCGTTTGGCCGCTCGTAGGGCTCGGTGCCGAGTGCGGAGAATCCGCCATGGGTGGGGCGGAGCAATCATCCGATCTGACGACAACGAGGAACCAGAGACGGAGGACAGCGAGGAAAGTGAGAGTGAGAGCGAGCGAGAGCCGGAGGACGAATTTGAGCACCATCTCGCAGAACGTCGTGCACGAGGTAGGCTTGCCAGGTTCAAAATAAACAAATGGGATTACTTAAACACCTGGAAAAAGCTTGTTCAGTCGAACAGAAGAAGGCGTTTGCAGAAGATAGGCTGTAACAGAAGCGACGAATCGAGTTCTGCTACACCTAGAGCGAAGGCTGACTGTTCAATGTAGTAGTATTCACTGAAGAAATTATCTACCATGTGACTACTATATCACCTAATCAGAGTGGCTGTGTAGCGATGGGATCAAAGGGTAAGTACACAGACACGGAGGAAGAGTAGCAAGATAAGTAGTCAAACAAAGAAAAAAGGAAACTGTGCGGGCCTACGTAGTCTGACCGTTACATACGCCCTCTAGACTGCCTTCTCGAGGCAGGCTAATCCTGCATGCCCTCCATGGCACCAGTGTGATCCCCGGAGTCCGACACTCCATTCGACGGACCCCCAGGGGACGCCGCCTTACGCTGGCGCTCTTCCAGGAGCCGACGCTCCCGGCGTACACGCGCCCGATCTTCTTCGTCTCGCTTGTTCTGGAGGATCGCATATTCAGCAAACCGCTCGCGCGCCGCGGCCGAGTGGATGTCAGAAAAGCGGGCGGGACCATTGCCGCCGCCATGACGGGCTTCCTCGTCCCGGTGCTTGGAATCACGCCGGTTCTGTCCGTCCTTGCGGCCTTTGCTCTGCCGCATGAGCGTCTCCAGGGCGGATGTCGTCGTGAACTCGCGCTCCTCGATAGGCACGAGTACCAAGCCAGGGGGAAGAGTCGAGAGGTCCTCCAGGCGGACCTGGAAATCCGTGAAGTTGGGGATCGGATTTTGGGTGTTGAAGCTCCAGCGCTCAGTCCCAATCTCGAAGAAACTGAACCGGAGATCTGACCCAGTGAAGTCGTTAAACGATTGGGCGAAATCGTCGTAACCCACAGGCCGAGTGATAACCTTCGAGTTGGGGTCGTGGATCGTGATGTTATGCTCGACAAAAGCGCGCATTGCCCAGGCATTGACCGAATATTCCTTCTCGTCGCCCCGAAGATTGACGTACACAAACGTCCAACGATCCTGGCGGCGGATCCACCCCGTGGCTGACGCGTGGCGCTGATTGAAATCCCAGTAAATCGCCGAGATTCGCTCTGTGTCAAGGACAAAATGGCTGGAGCAGCAGTCGCTCATGTGCTGAGACATGGGGATAGGACGATGGTGGGAGGGAGAGAGTTCGTGCAAAATTTCCCTCTCCCTTGCCGCACGGCGCCCAGACGGGCCATTGCCCCTGATCGGCTCAATCACCACGCTTCCCACGGTAAGACTAATCTCCCCCGTCGGAGCATCAGTGGATCCCGGTCCAAGCGCGTTAATGTTCTCGACGCCCAGGGCCTCGAGATATGCTGCAAAACACGGCAGCTTGTGGATCTGGTCGTACAACATCCAAGTCTTGTCCCCGGTAGACCACAGGACCTCAAAAACTGCGCGGGTCCTTTTGCCATAATGCCCTGTCACCCGATCGATCGCCCACTCGTGCTCCAAGGCATCGGCCGAAACGTCCAGTTGCGTTTCAAGCCTCCCAGGGAAGCGTCGATCATCGTTAGGCACATGTATTCGCAATAGTGAGGCGTGAAACACATCATGAATATTACGTTGCTTCAACTCTGGTGGCAGGTCGAGGCGGAATGATCCGTTCCCGAAATCCTCAATGATTGGGTACGGTCCGATGTATTTAGGGATCAGCTTTCTGGCCAGTCCCTTCTTGAAGCGGATGTTCTTTGACGACAGATAGACCAGATCTCCTGCGGCAAATGGCGCTTCCTGCCTTTTGCGATTGGCGTTTCGCGTTTGCTTCACCCTCGCTGCTATAATTGCGTCGTGCGCTGCCATGACGGCAAGCCTGCGTTGCAGGATGAAGTTTGCCACCCCTGGAAACTCACCGGACCGATCGGAGTCCCACAACAGTGACCGGGGCATCGTACCCGTGTTCATGAAGAAGGGGGAGTACCCAGTCGTGTCAGATCGAGCTGAATTCAGTGCGAATTCGATCGCGGGGACCTTGGCAACCCAGTCTTTTTGGTTACTCGACACGCACTGCCGCAGCATCTGGGTAATTGTTCGATTAGCCCGCTCTGTTGCGCCGTCCGTTTCAGGTGTCAGGGGAACCCCTGCTTTTGTCCGATCATCATGGGATCTCGCATGTGACCGTGCACGTGCCATCTGTCAAGCGTCACATGCTTCGGTCCGGACTTCCCTGCCAAGCGCGTCCACATGACACTCCGGCCCGCACCCCCATTGTTCCGACGGTCCGGCTCTCATTGTTCCCTGGCCCCATTGTCTGGCGCTTCCATTGTGCTTCGTCATCCATTGTTCTGTAGGCTATATATAGTGGGCCCTGACAAGGAGAGTCCCCAACTCGGTTTCTCTTTGGACTCTCCCTTGTCAGGTTTGCCAGTCTCCTGTACTAGTCGATCCCCTTATCTGACGCTTTGGACTCTCCCTTGTCAGGACTCTAAGATCGGGCCTCGAGGTTGCCCTTACATCAGGATGATAGGCGCTCGACATTCTGAGCTTCGTGCCAATGAGCTCATTGAGCCGCTGCCAGAAAGTACTGGTGAACAAGACGTCACGGTCGCTTACAATGGATCTTGGGAGGCCGTGTAATTTATACACCTCCTCAAACATCAGTTCGGCCAGCTGCCGGGCTGTATAGTTGATTCGGCTTGGGATGATGTGCACCATTCCAGTGAGATGGCAGATCACCACGGTGATGCAGTCGAAAATCCCGTCCCGATTCTTGGATTGTGGAAGTGGTCCCACGAAGTCCATGCCTATCACCTCCCAGGGTCTTTGTGGCACCTCCAACGGGTGTAGCTTCCCATATGGCTTCTGGTTGCCGGGCTTTGATCGCCGACAAATGGTGCAAGTCTCGCAATAGGATTTGGTGTCTTCGACCAAGTCCTTCCACCATACGTACTCACGTAAGTAGTCAGCAGTTTTCCGTGCCCCGAGATGAGCAAGGATCGAATGGGCCTCTGAGATAATGATCTCCCTCAGGCTGCGATCCCCGTAGAGAACTCTGGGTATGCACAGTAGGGAACTGTCATTGTCCTTTAGATACATCAGTCCGTCTGCTGTTGTCTCGAAATTGCGGTGAGCCTTTGGATCATGTAGTATTGCTCCGAAAAAGGGGTCGCCGGCGTATTTCCCCCTGATGTGGGCGGATATGTCCATTCCCGCCCATCCAGCTTCCACTGTTGCTAGTAATGCTGGATTTGCATCGTTGATTGCTTTGGCAATTCCTGGTAATTCGATCTCTCTCCCTCTGCCTTCCACGTTCAGCAAAGTCTTTTGCGGGGGTGGCCCGCCCTCTGTTCCCTCACGTGTCGATTGTGGGGGGACAAACTTTTGCGTGCCCTCAGCTTGGGACCTTTCCCGCGCCAGACGTACATGAGACCTTAAGACGCGGTCAGATGAGAGTGCCACAGCCTCCCGTCCAGCAAACACCGGCATGGAGATAGAGCTGAGAGCCAGTGAATCATTGCTTACAACATCATGGTATGTGTACTCGCTACGGGATCTTACTGTCCCTGGTGACTCGTTTGAGTAAAGACGAGAGAGCGAGTCCGCCAGCACGTTCTCGCTCCCGGGGACGTACACGACCTCAAAGTGAAACTCAGCCAGCTTTTCCATCCAGCGGGCCTGTCTACCTGACAGGTTGCGTTGCTCCAACAGATGGACAAGACCTTTGTGGTCTGTAATCCACTGGAAGCAACATCCCTGGAGAATATCCCTGTGGCGCATCATTGCCTCCACGCCGGCGAGCATTTCAATCTTGTGAACCGGGTAGTTCTGTTGAGCTGAGTTCAGCTTGGCAGAAAAGAAAGCAGCCACCTTGGCTCTCTTCCAGTCTGGTCCCTGCGAGACCACGCCCGCGACGCCGATGATACAACCGTCTGTAATCAGGAATATAGGTTCCTGGTCCGGTCCGTATACCAGTGGGACGCGCCTGTGCTCCCTGAGCCTAGCTACCACCCTCTTAATATCCTCAAACGCACGTTGGTGAGTGAAGCTCCACCGGAACGCCACGGTATCGCCAGTCAGGCTGTGCAGGACTGACATGGGCACCCTTACTCGAGCCAGATCGTCTGCGAGATAGCCCACTGAGCCCAGGAAGCCACGCCGTAGGTCACGGTTCGTGGGCGTCTTCCACGCCAGGACAGAGTCTACCTTGTCAGGATCCATGCGAATCCCCTGGTCATCCACCACACGCCCAAGTATCTTCAGCTTGGGCTTTAGGAACTGCAGCTTGTTTTCGCCTAGATATAGCTTCTCTCTCTTGAGAATATCAATTATCTTCCTGACGTGCACGCAATGGTCCTCGAGAGAATTAGAATATATGATTATGTCGTCAAGGTAGACATCCATGAATCTGCCTATGAAGTCAGAGGACAAGTAGTTCATTAAGGATTGATACGTTGCCGGCGCATTGCAGTCGCCCTGTTGCAACACCAGGCTGACCATGTTCCCGTCTGGCGTTGTCATGCACGTGCGATTAACGTGCTCCGGCACAATGCGGATTTGCTTGTAGGCGTCCTGCCCATCAATCAACGATCGGTACTTACAGCGAGCGACTCGCCGCAGTATGCCCTCCATGTCTGGCAAAGGAGAGGACATCTTATGTGTATTCTTGTTCCGCGCTCGGAGATCCACAACCACACGGAGTCGGGGAGGGCTCGATTTGGCCTTAGGGATCAGCAACATGGGCACAGTGTTGCCCGAGTTCGTCACCTTCCAGCGGCCTGTGCGCAGGTAAGTCCGCCGCTTTTCATCCCACTGATCCCTCAGGGCCTCAGGGCATCGGGAGGGGCGCCACGGCAGGATGAGCGTATCGTTTATCAGCGGAATCGTATGATTGATTTCTCGTAGGGGCGGTAGGGGCGTGTCCGCTGCCGTTTTACATACATCTCGTGCGTACTCCATCAATTCCGCCCGTGCGGCTTCCACCGAGGCTGCCTCCAGCTTCGTCGAACTGGAAAATATCTTCGAGGTGGCTACTCCTTCTAGGGGAAGAGCGTCAGCGCTTCCAATGCACACGCGGGACGGGTTGAAACCCACGCTAACACGGTGCCGGTAAAGCCATCCTGTCCCCAGAATCATGTCATAACCACTGATATTCGCCACGTAGAACGAGTGCTGAGTGTCGATGTCCTGGTATTGGAACCTTGCCGACACGCAGTGGTTGATCTTCGACCTCGAGCCTTGCACCGCCAGCTGCAGCGTGATTGGATCCTCCAACGTCACACGAGCAAGCTTGAGTTGGTCGGCGATCGTTGTGCTGATCAAATTGCCCAACGAGCCTGAGTCGATGAGTGCCCGCAAGGGCTCGCCGTTCACGCGGACCACTACCACAAGCGGTTTAGCGACCACCTTGTCTGGTAAGCGGGGAGTTGATGCCGATCTGGAGATGCCTCTCACCTGGTCTGCAGGCAGCTGCGCCCCACCCACGAACAACTCGCCCTCTGTCGGGGCCTTTGTCTGAGCGTTCTCGAGGTCTGCTAGCGCCGAGTCGAAGGCTTGGGTCATCTCAAGCAAGTCGGTCGAGAAGAGACCCCCGCACGCCAGGTGGCGCAGATCTTCACCGTTCCGGAGTAGGAGCAGCAAGCGTGCTTCACGGCTCGTCATGTCTGGGTGATCCAATGCGTAGAAGTGCGCATATGAGTCTAGCCCATCATCGTCCGATGCTCTCTGCATCCAAGCGCTCTTGTAGCGCGCCTTGCCGTGCTGGTCGAGTAACAGGCTGCTCTGTACCCAGCCCAAGAAGTCAAATCCCGTTCTGGCCAAGTACTCTGCAGGTACGGTGCGGATGTCACGGCTCTCCTGAGCCGTCTCGCGCGTCAGCACGTATTGTTTCCGACGCACGCCGTATTCGTGGCTTTCTTGTACCCGGACCCTCAGCTGGGAAAGGTCAGTGTCCGAAAACCGCTCAAAGTTGCGCAGGTACACATCTAGTCCTGCCTGGGTCAGGTCCTCCACCTCCACTTCGTGCAGGTCACTGGGCGTGTGGGGTATACCCATGTCGAGCTGGGTTGCGAGCTGATGATCGAACCACTCGCCGATTCGGAAGGTTTCCGTGGCCAGGTGTTGGGCTGGGAGGCTGAACGCCTCGGAGAACCAGTCGTCGTGAACGGTGAAGCCGCTTTCTCCAGAGCGGTACACACGGAAGCGCTCAGCTGGACGATCTAACTTGCCTCCAGGGGCACAGCTGTCTCCGGTGTACGGTTGGAGAAAGTGGAGCAGTGCGCGGGCTCCTGCAGCGTGCAGGTCGCCAATTGAGCGTGGTGGGTGTTCTTCCTCTGCGGGTACAGCCGCACTTCCGCCGCCTGCCGTAATAAGTGCCAGGCGCTCCTCAAACGCTCCCACGTAAGGTAGGCGTCATCAGGAACCAGCACCCCTTACTAAGCGTCACAGAGTGACATTCCGTGACGGACAATGGCGGCGGCCACAGATAAAAAATGAAAGATATGTTCAGATTGAATGCTTAGGGAGGTCATTAGAGCACCTTGTATCTGAACGGAATCTGCATAAATGGTCTCTGAGGTCCATCATGAGAGGTCGAAGATTTTCCCATCAAACATTTTCTATTGATGTTCAAAGTGTTTCTTAGCCAAATGCAGCACTTTTCAAGTTTCGGACCCAAAATTTGAGGCTGTCACGTGATGTCCCAATTAGGAAGTGATGACATCTAGCACTAGAATAGGCTACATCTTCAGTATAGAAGCTCAATCTGTTCGGATTGCAGCTATAGGTGGCAAAAAACTGCTGTTCAAGTCTTTTGGAGGCGTCACAAAGCCATAAAAATCAAAGTATTTTTTCGGGACCCAAGATTTGAGGCGTGACAGCGTGATGTCACATGCTTAGTAAGGGGTGCTGGTTCCTGATGACGCCTACCTTAGTCAGTGGTCATCTCTTCCTGACTATCGGTCTCATCTTTAATTGTCAGCCGGCCCATCCTTTGGGCGAGGTCAATATCATCTCGCGACGCCTCGCGGCGCCCCGGTCCCTCCCGCACACCATGGTCCTCAGCTTGAGGGCGAAAAGATTGTTTGTACCACTGGCGCAAGTCGAAGGTCTCATTGTTGAGGCTAGCAATAGGCAATTCACACGAACGCCCTAGATGGTGGAGGGTTACTGTGTAGCAGTATGGATCTCGTGAGGAGCGGCCAATGTCGAAGAGCTCGAGGTGAGCGTCATTCCCAGCCTCTTGATCATATGACCACAGCAGAACTGCGGCCATAGTTGCCACCGCGTCGCCGACCTCGGTGTCCCATGCCTCATTGTTTTCCAACTCGTTCAGAGGGCGGCATGCCACAACCTGTCGAAGTCGTGCGTACCACAGTCCGATTTGAAACGACTCGTTGTTGATCCACTGGGCCTCCAGGTCATATGCAGCATATGCATCAGCTCGTTCCAAGACCAGAAAGTCGCCGCTTCGCTGTTTCGTGACTACGAATCGTGGGCCGGGATCAGTCTGGATGAGGTGCTCATCTCCAGGGTATGGGGCGGCGTCAGTGAGGGCCATTCGTATAAAGCGGGCGCGGATGTCCCCAAGTGGGGTGTGCGTCTCGCCTGAGGGCGAGTTGTACCGAAGATCACCATCCAGATACTCTAGTACGTTGCCAATTTCATTCTCGTCTAGGAGCTGGCTGGTACTCCCGCCCTCTCGATCGCCCTCTAAGTCGATTGCAAATGTCTCAAGCACATGCTCCGTGCTCTCAAAAAGGGCTGAGGCTGTTTCGAAAGTCACTCCGTGTGTCGCCAAGCCCGGGGGCTTCCCCTTCTGCTTCGAGGGTACTGTCTGCAGCTTGGGGCAATTCCGAGCGAAGTGCCCCTCTGCTTCGCAGTTTAGGCATTTGTTTGCCGCCATCAGCTCTTCGCGCTTTTGTGCGGTCAACTTACGCTCCCACGGGCGCTCCGTTGCTTCGCGGCCTGGGTCCTTCTTATTCTTCGACCCCTTGCTCTTCTCTCCCGAGACAGCTGCCGCTGACGTCTGAATAGACGCGTCTGGCGATTTCGACCGCTTCGAGAACTTTCCCTTCCCTCGGGCTTTCTTTCCGGCCTGGGTGCCTGGAGCGGCTGCCCCTGCGTCTCGGGGCTTGTCCTTCTTACCCAGAAGGACTTCGGCCTTTTCAGCGCCGCTCACAACCTCGTCCCACGTTGACGACTCGGGGTTCAGCTCTTGGCGGTACAGCTCTGCCTGTATTTCGTGCGCAAAACCGCGCCATAGCCTCACAACCTTTTCCTGGTCGTCAGCGAGCCCGATCATAAAGTAAAGTTCTTCGAACTCCGAGGAGTAGTCTGAAACTGATCTTTTGTTTTGATAGCATTGTCCCAGCTTGTCCCGCAGTTTCATACGGTAATCTGCCGGGAAGCAGTACTTGAGCATACCCGCAAAGAAATCGCTCAGAGTCCACTCGGACTCTTTTTGTACCACTTTTCTGTTATAGAAATCGAGCGCTTTGCCCGTGAGGCGATAACTTAGCATGAAGATGTGCTGATCCTCGGGTAAGTTTCCCATCCGCAGCCAGTTTGTCCCTTGACGAACAAATTGCAGGAATTTGGCTGCGTCATCGCTTCCGTCGTAGGCGACGGGTTGAATTGGGCGGATCATTACCTGCCCAGGCCCATCCATGAGCAACCCATGGGAGGCGGCAACAGGCGCTGACGGTGGCAGTCCCACTGGTGCGCCGCCGCGTCTGTGACTTCCTGAGCCACTGTGAGAGCTGCTGGACGAACTGGGTGGAGGGGGTGATGCTCCCCCGGCCTCTCTTATGACCCTTTCCATGTATCCGCCCGCAGGCAGTATGTCGACCAGCTGCTGATCACGCCCTCTAGACCCGGATTTCGGTCTAGAGGCAGATCGTGCTCGTATCTGGGTCTCGATGTGCGCTCGAGCCAGTGCTTGGGCGTCTGTGATAGGCGTCCTCGTCGACCTCTTGGTTGACGCTTCTAACTGACGAAGCGGGCTCACTGAAAGTGCCGCGGAGTGCCGCAGGAGCACTCCTGCGGTACTCCTGCGGTACTCCAAATACTCCACATCATTGATCTCAACGACAACGACAACGATCAACATACTATCCACATCGGCCGAGTCGTTGATGGACGTGGGAGTGATCCGCGCAGGCAGCGGGACTACTGCAGACGCCGTTGTCGTCGGCGGCAGCGATAGAGATCCCACTCCTGCGGCACTCCAGAACATTGTGCCGCAGACTCCACAGCACACCGCGGCACTCCTGCGGAACCTCTGGCGACACTCCAAACAAGTCTGCGGCACTCCAAAAGAGTCTGCGGCACTCCAGTGTGACACATGTGACATGTCTGCGGCACTCCAAAGCACAGCCACTCTCTGGAGAGCGCCGCAGGCACATCCAACACTGTCTGCGCTAGTCAATCCCTAATACTTTAACATGAATTAGTCGAATTTCAATAGAATTGAATATGTAGATGTCCTGAAAGCCTGTTTTTGGATCGTAGGCCTCTATGATGCCTGGGAGGTGCTTGTCTCGAGCTCGTTGACCACCGGAAGGGTGGACTTGACTTAAAATTACAGAGAACATTTTTCATCACAAAAACACTCTCAAGGGTTTGGAATACCACCTATTCGGTACGATTTACGTTCAAAATGGATACAAAATGAGTTGTACACATTCTAGTGAAGCTGAAGAGTCCATGAGGTATTGTATTGTTTCGACATTTGGGCAATGGTGAATGCCTCTAACTATTGTAGAAACCAATAAATCAGATTTATAGACCGTCCTCGACCTCGTTCTGGGCTCTGCAACGAAGTGGACTCACAAGAGTGAGCAAAAACGGCCGCTCAGAAAGCCATCAAACCACATTGATGGGACATCAGCGCCGCGAGGACCATTGCTCAGAAACACGGGTGACAATGCCTTGGCCTGGCGATCATTCTTCTTGAGTGTTTTCAATAAAGTTGTAAAAATATGAATATGTAAGTATTCTGCCTCGTGGGTCGCTGCGGCACTCCAGCGTGACATCTGCGGTGCGTGACAGAAATCCTGCGGCACTCCAGGCTCGAGCCTGCGGCACTCCAAATGTTTTGCGGCGCTCCAACGGCACTCCGCGGCACTTTCATGTAGCCCTGATGGAGCGATTGGATCTCTTCTTCCAATCGGCGGATCTTCTCATCCGTGGTCTGGCCAGACGCTACGTCGCCCTCTGTTTCGGGCTCCGATTCGTTGTCAGTTAGGATCGAAGGTGCGTTCTGCATGGGATTAGCGCCAGACCGAGGACTGAATTTTTTCATCTCAGTAGGAACTTGCTCCCTCTTGACCTCACGGTGCCGCGCGTTGTGAGTCTCAAGCGCTTCGCGCTGCGCTTCGATTTCGTCCTTGGAGAATTCTTCTCCGAAGTCCAGTTGCCCCCAGTTCCTGGGGTCAATCGCCTTCCCCCGATTCTTAGAGGGGCCGGCGCGTGCCTGGCTATTTGCCTGAGGCACAATCTCACTGCTCTTGGCAGATTCGGGCGTTTGTTTCGGGCCCGAATTGACCGATCTGTTGGTCTGACTCATGGTGGCTGTGTCGCCGTGAAAATTTCCACTGGCGTGGCCGTCCGCTGCGGTGCGCGCCTCAGCGTTGCGGAGCAGGGTGCTATACCTCTCCGCCAAGGTTCGCAGCTGTGGGATACTCATGGATCCCTCCGCCTGAGACCAAGTGTGCGGCCCAGACGAGGTGTCTTTGCTATTACTGAGTTGGCTAGGGCTACGCTCACGGTGAGTGCGGGCAGTACTACGTGTGACCTCGGTCCACTGATCTTCGCCAGGGACTTCGACCTGGTGCAGTGCACCGTCGTCGACTACGCCGCCAGGGCGGGAACCAGAGTCCTGGTCGACCTCCAGCTGAGAGATCGAGCCTAGGACTTCCAGGGGGGATGCAAACCCTGCCACGATCTGCCGGTAAGACAGATCTGGTGTGACGGGCCGCGACCGGGGCGCACCCAGTTTGACGGACGGTGCACCGGAGGGAGACACCGCCCGCACTTCTGCAGGCTCGCCCACCTCTCCGCCGGCAGTCGATTCTCCAGTGTTGGCTTGCTGGATACGACGAGGGAGGGGCCGGAGGAGAGGAGGGGAGCGAGCAGGCAGGATGGTTTTTGGGGGATTTCTCGACATGCTGGTCGAAGATGGGGTTTTGGTAGATAGATTCGGTGGGGTTGTCGATGCGAGACGGCGAAGTGGTTGATCAGACCACGGAGACCAGAGGCAAGCAGCGACGAGTTACGGAGAGTCAAAAAGATGTAACAGAAGCGACGAATCGAGTTCTGCTACACGTAGAGCGAAGGCTGACTGTTCAATGTAGTAGTATTCACTGAAGAAATTATCTACCATGTGACTACTATATCACCTAATCAGAGTGGCTGTGTAGCGATGGGATCAAAGGGTAAGTACACAGACACGGAGGAAGAGTAGCAAGATAAGTAGTCAAACAAAGAAAAAAGGAAACTGTGCGGGCCTACGTAGTCTGACCGTTACATAGGCTTGCCGTATGAACACGTAGTCTCAATGACAAAATTATTGGATTAAGAAGAGAGAAGAATTGCACAGGAAAAGCTTGAAAAAGCAGAACGTCTGGGCAAAGTCATAGATGGGGACGAGTGGGCGCGGACGCAGCAAGAATCGCGACGCAGGCCGCCGCCCCCTGATGCAGAGATTTTCAGCATCGATGATTGATTGAACGCAAAAAAGCTACATGGGTATTTAATTGGCATCGTGTACACACGGGTGATAAGTAGGAAACAAAACAAATGTATTTTGTGTGCAACGAAGGCAATAGAAATCGACTTTAACTTCCTAAACGGGACGTAAAATGGCCAAAAATTTCTAGCGCTGCGCCCGCTAGGACCCCGGGCGGGGTTGGGTCTGCCCAGGCTGCCGCCCATGGGTGCCTGGAACCGTGAACAATGGGCCGCCCAAGGATCGCAATTTGCAAAATGAATGCCCACCGCCCATCCGCCCGCTACCACTCAGGTAGGTTTTGGGCGCCGGAAAAACCTACCTAACTGGTAGGACTTGGGGGGTGACCAAGGTGCAATGGGGGGGTGGTTTGTGATAGGGTGTCAACAGTGACTCATTGAACACTGGGTGCGCAGTGAGACTGTCGCGGGATTGACCAGGAGGTCAAAATTAGTGTTCCTGGGAGATGATAGGCTGGCTACCAGACGCGCTCTGCACCAGCTCTGTAAGGGCGTATTTTTGCGCTTTTTACAGAGTTTACTCTCGAACCATTCAGTGTATTGTGTTGCAGTTGACAGTGTTGCGCTCAGTAGGACTTAAGGGTCTATTGCCCGGTCGACGACCGTGGATGGTGTCAACAATAGTAAGGCAGTCAGACCACTACTGTGGAATTGGTCTTATGAGTCTACACCAGGCTCAGGGCTATTAGTGACAAACACTTGGACCGCGACAATTCCCCAAAAGGGATCTTTTGTTGCGGTGACTCCTCAAAAGGGTCATTCTCTGCAGGTGGGAACTTGGGCTGAAAGGCTGAGCAATGCGCGACGTTCTCAACATTACAACTGTCTCTGGACAGGGCTTGACGTTACGAGATTGAACCAATCTTGTCGCGGCAACTCCTGGCTTTGGGTTGGGTGTTTCCTCAGATCATGCCACGGTGACAACTTGTCACATGTCAGGATCCATTCGATCACGGGACATTGTGGACGCATTGTGGTGACACTTCCAAGTGTCACGGCGAGTTGCGTCCATACCCAAACACACTAAAACCGACACGGCTAGATCCGTGAACCAAACAGCGTGAGGAACATCTGGCATGCCTAGGGCCATGCAGCTTCTTGGGGCACCCACGTTGGGCTCACTTGCCAAGACATACCAGTTGGCCAATCCAGCACGTTGTATTCCAAAAGTATGACACGGTGGGTTGACCCACATCAAAAGTACCATATGGACTATGGGGCGGGGTCCTGATCAGTCAGGACCTGTCCGATCGTTCAACTTTTATTACCCTAAAAGGCAACCAATCTCAGATAGCGTAGCTACTATGCAGTTGTACAGGACTTTACTAGGCACCGCCGTAGACAGTATAAGTAGCGCGTCGTTTCTTTGTATTGGGGAGCTTTCACCTGGACTGTGAATCATACCCATTTCAGATTGTTTTGTACAATTTGCGTGTCACGTGTTTCCGCCCTAAGAAGTTCTGTTACCCCTGCCTGGTCGCGACAAGTTGCTCCCTGAGCACTTGTAGCTACCATGATTTGAGTTTTGAGTTGAGATATCAGAAAGTTGGATTCACCGCTTCTGGTTCTATCGTGGCACTTTGTGTTGTTGCTTTTGGGCTTTGTTGAGATCGTTTCCACACCTCTAGTTTGGCAGTGCATCGACTAGTTGTGCTTGGGTAGTTTTGGTCAGTTGGCAGTGCGTTGACGCGGCATTTTGGTTTACTAGTTGGCAGTGCATCGACTCAGTACTTTGGTTGTGTCAGTTGGCAGTGCGTCGACTTGATATCTGGGCTTTGCGTTGCCATCTGGACGCTGTCGCTACAAGGGATCTTAATACTTTGTATGAAGCTCTGACTTGTGATATTGTTGGTTGTGGTTGAATTAGTGTTGGATTCGGTCATATAGAAGATATTGGTTGAGACACCACTATTTGCTATATATAAATTCTTGTCGTCGACTTCCTCTCCCGTGACTACTGGATCTGCGTCTATTGAGAGTTGTGATACTGGTGCTCTGTCCACTGCCGAAGCCCTCGCATCTTTCACACACTGAGAAGCTGATTATGAGGAGTGTGAACGTGTTCATATTTGGGTTTACTTCACAGTACATTCACTTGTGAGTGCACCCTCAGCATTTCACCGCGACGCACTGTAATTCTGTCTGTCCACAAGACTTGTGGAAAGAACCAAAACCATGTAGAGGTGTTTCCTCCAGTAGCTTTGCACAGTGACTGCCATATGTCCCAATGTATTCTTTCAACAGTGCCATTAGCTTGGTACTTGTAAGGAGATATCCTTATTCCTTTAATACCGTATTTCTTCTGTAACTGTAAGGGCAACTCCTGCCAGCCCGAAGGAAGAGAGCACACAGCACACAACAACCTCACATGAGTCTGAGCACAGAGGGGGATCCTTAGAGACTATCAAATACAAGGGAGGTATACTACTCACCTGAGCACAGAGTGGGATCCTTAGAGAACGGTTCAAGGATCCAGGTGCCCAGGTGTCACACTGTATAGTCAGCTGTGACAAGTGACTGATGATGATGGGACATCACCGCCATGGAATAATGGCAGATGACAAGTAGATGATGACAAACCCTGATAAGATAGTGAGTGGCTCAGAGGGGCCAGTGATGGCCAGCTCCTGAGACACCAACAGTGGAAGGCCACACTGGAGGAGCCCAGTGGCCAGGCCAGTGCCGGGCCAGCCAGTGGAGACATCGGAGGTGAGGACCAATGCCCGACTGTGAAGAGGGGTGGTGTGGATGAGTGCAAGGGCATCTGGTACGAGCCTGTACAGCAGTAGACCACATCCGCGGGGAGGAGGCCGAAGTGAAGGGGGAGGAGTGCGTACGGCAGTAGCACTCCCTGGTGCAAGGAATCAGGCTTGGCTAGACCGCTTGCGGGGATTCAAAGGAGATGGGTGGGAGAAGGAGGAAGAGGGTGGGTGTTGGCATGGATGGAGATGAGGATCGGAGGAGGAGGAGGAGGCTGGGTGATCAACAGGTGAGCAGGCACGGGTCGGCAGAGAGGGTGCAGTGGGTCACGTGCATGGTCACGTGCCCAAGGAGCGCGGCGTCCCCTGACAGCAACCAAGTCAGCACTGCAACAAACTGTCCTGCGTTGTCGGTTACAATCCACTTAGGACACCCCCAGCGACACACTATGTCTTCGAGCAAGAAACGCGCTATTGCTTTGGCGTTGTCAGCCTGTAGCGGTCATGCTTCCACATAGCAGGTCAAAGAATCCCTTGCCGCGACAACATATCTGTATCCGCTGGAAGGCGTTCCCATAATCATGACGTCCGTATGTATCTTTTGAAATACACTTGGAGTCATAGTTGGCGTCGGTGGGGTGCGGAGGAGAGTTTTCTGGCGGACTTGGCAGCTATGACAAGTCTTTATCCACCAGTTGACGTCTCTTTCCATCTCAGGCCACCAAAACCAAGTTTCCAACAGGCTCTTAGTGCTGAAAAGACCCTTATGACCCAGCGCGTCGTGACACACCTTCATCATATAAGTCCTGTGGTGTTTGTCCACGACCAGTCTATGAATCCCATTGGTTGATCTCTTGTACATTTTTCCAACCTTGAGGAAAAACTGCCGCGAGAATTTCAGGAATGATCTGAACCGTTTATCTGTCATTTCAGGCCTTATAGAAGTGTCTTTCAACCACTTCCTAGCCATCACCAACTTGTTGTCCTGTTCAATCCCTGTGCCGGTCCTGTGATCCTCCATGTAGGGATCCTCAGGATTGTCGCGCAGTTCCAGATTAGGCAAAAGAGGTTCCCCGTCTGCCAAGCTGTTCAATATGAAGACTGGAACAACAAGACCTCAAGCGCCATATGTGTCTTTGATGTGCCGATTCTCAGTGTGATGAGAGTCGCAAGCTTCGACTAGCTCTTTGGATATGTTGTCGACCGACTCAGCACACACGGCCATAGAGTTAAGGTAGCCACATCTGGTGTCTATATCCCTTTTGAACTCTTCAAAGTCTAATGGCTTTTCTGTGTCGTAGTCCCAATTTTCGTTCTTTTCCGGTGGTGGCTTGTCGAAGATCTCTTCCTCGTCATTGGGATACTCTTCATCTCCAGGCGCAGGTCGTCGTCGCGACAAGCCATCTGGCGAGAAGGTGATTCCTCTGACATGTTTCAAGGTAAATTGAAACATGAGGATCTCCTCAGCCCAATGGTTGATATTTGCATTTGGTAGGTTACCAACGTTCCTTAGCATGCCTGCCAAGTACAGCGCGTTGGTTTCGACTACCAATTTCCTACACCCAAGAAGCCAGTGAGCCATGGCTTGAAGCACGCGCTTCACACCATAGAGTTCACGCTTCCGTTGAGAAAACCTAGCTTCTTGTTCTGTAAGTGGGATACTCCCAAATTTCGCGTAATAGACTTTCTTTGGGTCGTCTGGATCGCGCTGGTAGATTTC